GGGAGACATTCAATGAGGTTGGTGGTGTAGATTGGACCAATTTCCTTGTTGGGTGGCTGTACTGGATTAACAATGGTGATACTCTGTGATGAACTTGCAGTGAGCTGGGATAAAGTTCTTGAAGAAAGGGATGGATCTTGAGTTTCTTCAAGTTTGCGCTTCTTGGCCAAAGGTTCGGGTTGAGAAGGAGCACTGGATTTATTCTTTGGTTGGGGTTTGGGCTTGACAGAAGGATTTTGAGTTTTCTCTGGCTTCTGAATGTCGACAATAGCAGCTGATCCTTCCAGTATTCGTGAAATTTCGTCTAGTTTGGCCTTTTCTTCAATGGGATTTAAGGAGGAAAGTTGAGCCTGCACATCTTTCCTTTTCTGAGCCAATTTGTCGTCTCCAGCTGAGAGATTAACTGGTGGTTGCTGAAGGGGAAAAAAAAACAATAGAAATAAGTTTCATTTCCCTTTTTAATGTGTGAAAAAATTGGGGTGATGTGTGGAAAAACTGGTTTGAATTCAATTTTGAGTTCTGAAAAAAGTGGGGTGAGATGTGAGGAAAAACTGGTTTAAATTCAATAATATGGTGTGAAAAGTGGGGGTGAGGTGAGGAAAAAAAATAGCAGAAATTGAATTTTAAGGTGTGAAAAATTTGGGCTGAGGAGTGGAAGGGGTTGCACAGATGAACATAATTTTGACCATCGACTGCACTGCGGTGCAATATTTCGACCATTGACCACCCAAATTGGTCCATCGACTGCATTTCGGCACCACTTTTCGACCATCAACCAAGATCGACAGGAGAGGGGGGGGCTGCACAGATGGTCAATATTTCGACCATCGACTGCATTTCGGCGGCCAATTTGGTCCATCGACCAAGATCGATCGGAGAAGGGGGGGGCTGCACAGATGGTCAATATTTCGACCATCGACTGCATTTCGGCGCCATTTTTCGACCATCGACCAAGATCGATTGGAGAGGGGGGGGGGCTGCACAGATGGTCAATATTTCAACCATCGACTGCATTTCGGCGCCAATTTTCGACCATCGACCATTTCCGATCCAAAATTTGGCAAACCACCTCCAGTCCCCAGAAATAATCCCCCCCTTAAAAGAGGGCCCCTCCCCCCAAGAAAAATGAACCCAGAAAAATAAAAGAAAAAAGAGAGCCCCCCAAGAGAAAAGGAAAAAGAGCCCGCCAATGAAAAGAGAAAAAAGGAAGGAAAAAGGCCACCCAAGAAAAAAAAAACTCACTTTGTAATGCCATTGAGGATCAAATTCCTCTGGCTGAACTTTGAGGTCCTCCGTCGAGATTTCCTTGAGCCAATGACAACAGGGGATTCCCATTCGTTTCCGGTAAGAGTTGTTGCAACCCAGCTTGACAGAGTTTTGGGCAAAATTTGCTTGGGCCTTCTTGAGAGCAGCATGAGAGATTTTACCGAGACAGGGTGAAAAGATTTTGTTGATATTTCGGAGAGTTTTGACATTTTTCTGGGAAAATTCCTTCACGGATGAACTGGTCCTTCGTTTTTGAAGGTCTTGAAGAAAGGGTGTTTGGAAAATTTTCAGGGAAGTTGTTGGCCTTGCTGAGAAGGGTATTTTTGATGTATTTGTGATCAACATGGATTTGAAGAGAGCGGTGGTCGAAATGAGAAAGATCCTTAGTCCAAGGATTGGTAAAAGAATGAGAAAGGGGAATCCAAGTGGAATCTAGGAATTCAATAAATTTAGAAGGGTAACCAGAGTTATTTTTGAAGTTGGAATGGTAGAAATCATGAAATTCAGAAGGGGTAGGTTTTTTAATCAAAGAGGACCACAATTCGAGAATTTTGGATTCTGTTTGGTTATCTTTTATAATTTTTTTAGCATTGAGTTTGATGTCTTGATAGATGTGGCTGGCTGAGAGGAGGTTGTGGGTATTTGGAAAGAATTGGTGAAGGGAATTTTGAAGATCTGGATTGTGAATAGTTAAAGACAATTTGGGGAGAGGAATTTTGTGGGTGGTGAATAAAGAGTGAAGAGTTTGAAGAGACCAGGAGTAAGATTGAGCAGATTGATCAGAAGTGAAAGAAAAAGCTATGGAAAATTTTTGATTGTTCCCGCCAAGGCCAGCAATGTGGAGAAGGGGCATGTTATACCTATTTTTGGTGTGGGTGGAATCTATAAAAATTATTGAGGAATATTGGGAGAGGAGTTGAAGAGAAGAAGGATGGAAAAAGAAAAGATCCTTGAGTTCTCCATTTTCGGTGATATTTTGCTCAAGAGTGAATTGAGAAACAGCCAGGGATTTTTTCAATTCAAGCACTGGGGAAGAAGTCTGAGAAGCTTCACGTTTGGCCTTTCTCGAGATTGCATAAATGTTGGCTTGGGTGATGGAATGACCGGGGTGAGTTTCGTTGAGTTTGAGAATGATTTCTTTTGCTTTCAGACCCTGGTTGTGGAGATCTTCAATTTCTTCAGTGATATCAGATTCGAGTTCGCGGATTCCCAGAGCAGGAGGGTGATCAGGGGTTAGTTCATGGTTGTGGCTTGGTCTGACGCAGGTGAATTCCCAGTGATTTTTATTCTTGACGAATTTTCCAAGGGCCTAAAATGGACAGTTGATCAAACGGGAAGACGACTGATTGGTTTGAGCTGGCAGACCTCCTCTAAATCAAAGAGAAAAAGAATCTCATTCAGAAAACTGAATAACTTGGGGAAAAAGATGAACAAAAAATACCTGGAGCATTTAAAGACTTTCCTATTCTCACTAGTCGTTTTGAGAGAAACCGTATAGCCATGATCTCGAGCAAACTTCTTGACAGATTCGACCATTTTGACTGGATCTTCAAACGTCTGGTCCGGTGGAGCTGAGCCTTGAGGGTGAATTTTTTGATCTTGATTTTCACATTCAGAGCTAGAGTTTTTACTATCACTAGTACCATGGTATTCTTCATCACTATCTTCAATCACATTCTTTTTGTTTTTTTTTCTTTTTGGTTTGATTTTTTAACAAGAACATCAGAAGTTTCAGAGGAGGAAGAGCTACTATTATTATCTAATTTTACAGTGTTGTCATCTGCTATTTGAGTGTTGTTATCTAAATTATCTTTGTTTTCTTCAATTTTTTCACTAGCTTGGAGGAGGAGGGGATCAATGTCAAGGTTCTGTGGCTTGGAAGAAGGGCTAGACATGATGAAGCTGGACTTTCAGGGGGCTGTGGTGATGATTTGAGTTTTGTTGGGGCTTTTGATTGGGTTTTTTCAGGTTTTTTTCGGGTTTTTTCGGGTTTTTTGGTCGTCTTTGGGTTGTGGTGCGGTTTTGGTGTGCTTTTCTGGGTTTTTTTCAGTGTTTTTGAGGTTTGGTGGGTGTGGTGGCGGCTCTGGTGAGATTTGTTGTCGTTTTGCGAGGTGGATGGTCGAATCGCTTCGCTTTGTTTTGGCGGTTTGGCTGGGGACAAAGCAATGCGAAATTCGACCATTGACAACACATCTCACTAGAGAATGCATATCGATAAAGTTTAGACTGCTTCACCTGCAGATCCAACTTTATCGATATGCACGAGCATCCGATGGACACTCCTTGAGCTAAAGCGTCCATCGGATGCTCATCATTTTGAACAAAGGCTATCCATCGGACAACCGATCAAGAGTGTCCAATGGATAGTGGTTTCCTAGCCATCCTCAGGATGGTTTCCACTGCCTGGTATCATTTGGACGCTTTCTGAGGCGTCCAAATGATGCCAGGCCCGCCCGAGCGTCCGTTGGATGCTTTGCAACCAAGTCGCGGGCTCTCGGGACGGAAACCATCCGTTTGCTGGGGGGGTTTTCTAAAAACCCACCCCATGGTGTAAGTGTATACAAGATCCTTGTGCACATTTTGATTATTTCAACTCATTTGGATGTGGAGATACACTCACAAAGGGGAAGAAGCTCTGACAAAGAAAATTTGCAATCATGATTGATTTTGACTTTCAAATGGCATTCACAGGGCTTCAAATAGAATTGGTAAAATAGTGTTGGTTGTGGGATAGGAACAGCATGTTAATGAATAATCTTTACAAATATCTAGAAAAGTGACATTCAATTTGGGTCTAATCACATATAATTGCCAACTTTTACTTTCATAATTACAATGTATCATATTTTGTTCTATAATCATTCTGGTTTGTTTGCTTTCATATTCATTGGACGACTTCCCGTCACATCTGCGGGTCTCCCAGAAGTGATTTAGAGGCCTCGAAAGCTAGATTTCCCAGCGAAATTCTAGACTCTTCGGGTCTAAATCGACATCTGCGAGGGTCCCAGATCCGACGGGAAGTCCTCCATTCAAGGGTTTGTGATTTTGAAAAAAAAGAACAAATCTTCCAGTTTCTGCAATTATATCTTCCTGTATATTTGAAATTGAATTGAAATTGATTTACTTCTCTCACTTAATAGGGAATGTAATTTATTGGATTAATTAATCTCAGGAGCTTCTCCCCTCATATACATAGTGACTATCAGATATTTCTATATAGACTTCCAGGGAAGTAATTCAGGTCAAAATATTTTGACAAATATGGGAAAAAAACAGGTTTCATGTGTTGCCATCAATCTCAAATCAGCACATTTTTTTTGCAAAATAGCTAGATTTCTTTGAAGAAAAGTTAAGATCAATCAATTTTATTGTAAATGTAGACCAGAAATTGAACCTAAATGAGAGAAATCCAAATCTTCAAAACAGAGCTGAAATCACATTAAGGTCTGGAGCTAACTAGTCAGGTATTGCCACTGGACATGAAGCTAGACAACTATGAAAATCAATCAAAGAGCAGTGGAAGGATTATACTGCAAAGCTGGTCATCTGATTGTAATGTTACTGTGATTCAGAGAAATGTGGGAAAAAGAATGATCCACAATGAGGAAAAATGAAATGATAAACCAGGCACTTGAAATTGAATGATTGAAACAAAAGAAAGACACAGATGCTTAAGAATGGAAGCATGCGGAAGGAAATATGAAAGGAAGTGCTGGGCAACATGTTATGAAAAACTATCGAAAGCAGTGGGAATGGTTCTCGTAGTCTCCTCACACGTCAGAGCCATTTGGACGATCAGCCTTGGTCTTCAAGAGGCTGGTCAGTAAATCATGTGGAATATTTACTACCTTACGAGGAACAGCGAGGGCAGTGGACCCCACTTCACTTTGCAAGACGTATTTTGCGCCATTCAAAACGGACTTGTGCACCCCGCCACGAGCAACAAAACTTATGGTCCCCGACCCACCCTCACTGACTGACTTGATGACGCTTGCCCCACCTTGGTAGACATTACTCATAATCCTCCCCGCCCCAAATCCCGAGACGTGACTATCCGAAGAGCTCTCAGTCGGAACGTCCGCGTGGTTGCTTGATTGAACACGATCTTCATTTGTTTCCGAAGGGCTAGAAGTCAGAGCGTTTGAGGGATCCTTTTTAAAGTCTTGCAGCCATTCATTCTTTTTGACTTCTTCTGGCGAGATAAGCCCCATACGGGACTGGTGAATTTGTTCCAAAACCGAAGAGACTATCTCAGATTCCAACCAGGTTTTTGCTTGAGCATCCGATTTCATCTTCTTCAATTGTTGGTCGTATTCTGCTGGAGACACCGCACCAATGCTACGTTCCAAGATAGCATGAGAAATCGTTGGAGAAGTAAACCCGATGAGAGCGTTTGATGCGGCCGGACGATCCTTCGAAAAGATGACATTGCGTAGTTCGTGTATTTTGAGCCCGCGACTGATTAAATCATATTTATCCTTGAATCCTTTGAAATTTGAGTATATCAACTTTTCTATATTGTTGGCGTTGTATGTCATGAAGAAATTTAAAAAATGCAAAACTGTTAAAAATTCTAACTGATTAATATCAGGCGGAAGCTCGTTATAAATCCTGGCTAAATGGGTATAGACTATTTCTAGCTTGGGTCCCAAATCATGTTTTATTTCAGAACTTTCTGAAGACTCTCTCCATTCGAATTCTTCAAGGAAGGAATCATCAAGGAATCCTGTGCATGCATTCATGAAAAACAAATTTCCATCTGAAGCTCCTTCATTGGGTCGAGTGTCCGCGAAAGCGGTTTGAATTGATCTGTAGATAATTTTCCCTTGAGTCGGTCTGTTAAGCACTGGAACAAAAATCAAATAAACACACAAATCTTCCCCAATGGCGAATTGCTTCATGATTATGTCCCTACTCACTCTCTAAACACGCATGCAGGTGCGAGGTGCGCGGATCTCGCAGTAAGTAATCCATATCAGGTTTGAAGTTAGCGGGGTTGGAAAAATTGGGATATTTTTCGCCGTAGAGATAAACGAGGTGCTCTCCAACAATTTTTATAATTCGTTCGTCATTGAAGAAATTTTGCACTTCTTCTTTGTCGATTAGGGCATGCTGGTATGACATATCGAGAACGCCAAGCACTGCTGCGACTAACTTAATCTCTATTTCTTCCATTCCGCCTTCCTCTCGCAATAAGTGCAGGCATTCCTGCAATTGCTGGAGCTTCAAATTTAATTTTGACTGGTGCTCTTGAAGCCATAGTTCATGTCTGTGCAATACCTTGCTAACACTTTCATCATGTTTTAGTTGCAAGAAAGGCAGAAAGTCCTTCTCAAGAAACGTTTTGAGTTCGAAGATTGGTTTGGTAATTAAAATATGAGCTCGATCAGGATCCTGCGTTGGATGTGGAATGGTATCCTCAAAAATCTCAGATACCAAGACATCGATTCGGCCCAAGTAAGTTGTTATGCCCTGCTGCTCTCTCAGATATTCTTGAAAGGCTAAATTCAAACGCGGCCGGAAATTTCCACACATCAGCTCATGATGCCTATTTCAATCTTTTCTAGTGATAGACCATTTTTGTTCTGAAAATCAAGTGCTTACATGCCCCCGTGTGCTCTTTTAGTTATTTGTGATGTCAAAATTCAAGAAATCAAAATTGGGTGAGTAGCATGTTCGTCGATCACGCTTGAACGAAGTCATCAAAAGAAGGAGAAAATCTTTACCAGCACGCGTCTTGAAGTCTAGAATTTTGCTGCTCAACTTCTTCCAGTTGTCCAAGGCGTTGCTCTGTTTGTCCTTGAAGTCTTCTGGTTGGTATCATCAATATTCAACCAATGAGAGGAACAGGATCAGAAATTTTTAATGATAGTTGACTGATGCACAATGTTGAACAAAAAGACTAACCGGTCTCCGATTTTATGGCTCCAATCTCACTGATTGGCTCGTTTCCCTGAGAAGGGCTAGCAGATTTTTCTCCAGAGTGAAATACTTGATAATTTGTTTTGATCAATTTCACCGAAAAGTCTAACTTGTTCATGAATGAGAAAAGAACTTACCGCTACCCAAACTTGACATGGAGGGCTCGGTTTCCGATGGGGCAGAAAAATCATTTAACCCTACTTGGTCGTATGAAGGATGAACTAGCATCAGTACTCAAGGACATCAATTCTGAACAATGTAAACACACCGTGTGAGATAGCGGAGCCTGCCCGGTTGAGGTCCATTCTTTTTTGTAATCTTCTGCCATTGATGCACCCTTGGAAGATGATGGCTAAGTACAAGCAACGCTGTAAGCTGGCCAGCATGTCGGAGTAACTCAGAGAAAGATTTTATGAGTAAAGAGAAGAGCGATTGTCTGAGAATTGAGCTCTTCAAGCCGCTGAGGGGCTTTTGGAGTGAAATTAATTATATGTGTAAACTGTTCTGAATCAGTTTGACGGTTTGTGCCAGTGGTAGGTTGACGAGAACCAGGCTGGGCATCTCAGATGTGCCATTTGGGGCAACCTTTTGCAAAATGGTTACATATCCTAGGCTTTACATCGACGCGAGGTAAGTAGGCACCCGAAACTTGCAAGAAACTCAGACACAGAGGTTTCGGCTTCACATGGGGTCTGAAATCACGATACATCCCTAACGAATATGACTTCTCAGATCATTGTCCACCCCGGCAGAAAACTCGAGGGTCGCATCTTACAAGTATCCTACGGAAGCCCAGGTACGACACAATCGTGCCACCTGTAATCATATGTCAGAAATCCTAAAACTAAAAGTTGAAAACACCAATACTGTAGACCAATTCACAAATCAATTGGAACAATACGATTCTTGACACCAGAATTCCAATAGGGATGCATTGAAACATAAGAGTTGCTGAAACCCAACCACCCAATTTCTCCCTCTCTTGTACTTAGTAATTTGAAACATGATTCATAGACAGGAGTGTCTTTCAGTCCTCTCTGCAACCAGGAAGGAAGAAACTGTTGCCAGCCGCACAAATTTTTTTCCTGGGGTACCTTCCCCTCAAGTTGTAGCCTTACGCGATTGTTTTCTACATATCCAGCCTTTCTTGTCATCCAATTAGTGAGAGCAATACGGCATCCAAATGCCAATGAGAACACTAAACCGCAAGCGCAAGTTATGGGAGCTTCAAAAGCGTGAGCTACCTCAAGGGTCTCCGCCTGTCATCCACCTCGAGTAGGTCCAGAAGATGGGGTGGTGGGCCCAAAAAAGGGCTTGGATCAGCAAAAATGATGGCCAGTAGTTTTGTGAGATGTAATGTCTGAGATTTGAGCGATATGCAGGGGACCCCATTGACCCCCTGCATGTTCATGAGTAGAACTAGGTGGCCATCGGTCTAGGGAGCTGCGCGTAGTTCCAGACAATCGCGCAAGGGGCCAAGAGAAGGCAGAGAGGAGGATGAACAATTGCGAGAAGATTGGTGATGGGCTTTGGCTGAGATTCCAGGCAATCGTGGTCCAGATGATTGCCAGGGTGGGCTTGAGAAAAGGCTGAGAGGAGTTCAAATTTTCAATTGCCAGTAGATCGGCGATGTAATGGCAAACTCAATTGTGTACGGTCGAGCTGCTCCGGTGCCACCGTGGTGTATTGGTGTTTTCAACTTTTGGTTTTAGGATTTCTGACATACATACAGTTGCGGACGGCAAAAACCGACCCTGGATTTTCAGGATGTCCGAATAGTCGGGCCAAAAATTTCAGATTTTTTTTGAAATTTTCAGCCTTTTGAGCTGTTTGTAGCCTCCAGAGTGTAGAAAAAATACACTAGAATAGTAGATTAACAGTGAAAGTAGATGGTGAGGGTGTACAAGTAGTATAAAACCATATTTATGTATCACTTTAAGCCATAACTATGGGTTTAAGTATGGCTTAATCTGTGCATGTCCGATTATATGTATGTGGAAATGAAAAAAAAAAATGAACCACTCACTCAAAACCTTAGTGATTACAATTTTGAACTCTACACATCTGTAGAAGTTCAAAAATGTAATAAAATTAAGTATCAGGGCACATGCCCCCCGGGGCATAGGCCCCGCGTGTCCAATTTGGATTTTGCGGGCGGGGCATGGTCGGTCTATGCCGTACGCAACTGTATTACGGGTGGCACGATTGTGTCGTACCTGGGCTTCCGTAGAAATTCCATGCGCTTGTATGCTCTCTAACCTTGACACACCCCTTGACTTTTTGTTGAGTCAATCAAAGAATCCATGTTCAAAGTAAAAACCAAGCCAGGTTGTTCCAAGTTAAACACTTTTTGCCTCAGTCAAGCCCCAAGGGTTTTCTGTGGCCTCCGCCTGCCCCAAGTGAGTGAATAATTAGCAGTTTGATTCCCTTGGTTATGTTGGCAGTTTAAGTCCCTCAGTCATGTTAGATTCAGTTTGAGCAAGGGCTTTTACAAAAGCCCTGACATTGGCATTATCAAAATAATATCAGAATATATTTACATCAAGAAAAATGTAACTGTAAAGGAGCTCAATCTACAGGCAATGATATAAATCCAGATCAACACTTTTAGATCACACATCATGGATTTATTGAAATGATTCCCAGAAAAAACTGTTTCAAACTTATACTCATTGATCCCGATGTTGGAGGGACTGTCCATTTTTACCTAATTTATACAGTGGTCAAGTTTTTCACTCACACAGGTAACATTGAGGTTGGCAGGTTCATCCTTGTTTTGTTACAGTCACATATTTCTGAAATCCAGTAAAACCATCAAGCCTTGATGATCAATTCTACTACTACATATTCCTCTGAGGGGAGTGTGGGCCTGCACTCCACTGCAGAGTGGCATGCAGGGACGCACACCAATCTGCAGGGGAATTTACCCTGCAAGGCATTGGCCTGTGGCAACGCTGCCACAGATACGATATGCTGTGTGTATCATGGAGAATTCTGCAAAGCTGCATGGCCAAAAACCAAATTTGTTGAATCTCCTTGCAAATAAAAGCAGATTGGTCAGATAGTTTTTTTTTATTGGGGCTCAGATACATAGTGATACATGGCAGATACGGGCAGATACCGTATCTGTGGCAGCGTTGCCTGTGGTCCCACACTCCCCTTCTGAGGGGGAGTGTGGGAGTGCATGCACAAAGGGGGGGAGTGTGTTTATCACTCCCCAAAGTTCAAGGCAACTTTTAGCACATTTTTAGATAAAATTTTATGAATTTTGTCCAATCTCATGAATTGTCAGGTTTGGAGCAGTTTTAGATTTTTCACAAACTTGTAAAATTTTAATGATTGATGTCATTAAATTTGCCTCAAACTTCAGATGTGAATCATCCTAATAGGTCCCAAAGAATGAATAAAAAAAATCTTGAAAATAAAATAAAAAAACTGTTTTTGGGCCTTGCCACGTTTTGACGCGGTTTTGCAGCAGCGTAGCACACGCGGTTTCCGCATTTGGACACGTTTTTTTAATTAATTTTTTACACCTTATTTTTTAATAATTTTTTTAAATCTTAAAGTGGTTTCCTACATTATAAAATGTGTAGAATTTTATGGTATAATCTAATTTCCATAAAAATCAACAGTTCATTTTTAATACTGCAATCAGACACTTTTTTCAATTAATTCTTTACATGTTATTTCTTAACATTTTTGGACATTTTGAATTTATTTCCCACAATTTAAGACACGTTAAAAATGATAATAATAATAAATTTGTGTGAAAATGAAAACTCTTTCTTAAATATTGCATTTGACATGGTTTTTGAATTAATTTTTACAGACTTATTATTCATCATTTTTTTGAATTTTAAGTTGATTTCCTACATCTTGAGAGGTTTGAAACTTTATGGTCTTACCCATATGATTTCTTAGCCTTTTGCTTTCTTTGTTGTTCAAGCGCTATTTGTACATGCTCAGCATGCTCCTTTTCTTGTAGTTTGGGTAATTGGGGATCATCTATCTCTAGCCTGGCTGCCCAAGTCCCTATTACTCTCTGTGACATGTCATATGTGACATCTGCTGATGATTGGTTCATGAGCATACACAGATTTGATGAGGTCTGTTGCTCAACAGAATGTCCAGATTGGAGTCAAGACAGTAAATTATAGTACTTTAATACATAGTGGGCTGGTCAACACCCCACTCAACAGCTGACTAAAACCATCTGGTGACCACTTGTTCCAAAATTTTATTTGATAATCATTCTTTTCACTTCTGATTATTTTTTCTTGCAGCAATCTCACTCCCCCAAAATGAACATCAAAGCTTTTGAAAAAAAAAACAATTTAATTCTTTATTTTTCACAAATTTTGATACCTTGGTTTTTTTCATTTTCTCATATTCTTCTCTTTTTGGGACCCATTCTGCACCACTTGATCAAGTCTTGTGACTTCCATTTTGTTCTTTGAAGATCTCAAATCCAAAATAAGCAGCTAGAAATAACAGTACACCCACTGTACATCAGGTTGCTGTAGAGCCTGATTGGTCTCAACCAGGTCACCAAGGGCAGGTACTCACCAGAGACCAGGCTAAGGAATCTTGGCTGCCTGCTTGGTCTCAATCAATTCACCAAGAAGGTTTTTTGGTGGTGGGTACCTTAAAGGTACCTACCTGGCCATCCCCTGTTTTTTACCCAAAAAATGGACACCCAGCATTGCACCTGGCAGGTGAAATGGGTACCCGTTCATGGGTTCTAGGTACCACAAGGAAAATGTCAAATTAAGTTCAATGTGGGGTTTACAGTTCCAAAATGATGGAGTTAGCTGGATAAGTGGCTCAATAATCTTCTGCATTAGTTCATCACAAGTTTTGTGGTCAGCTGTCCATCTGTAAGTTGTACTTGTCACAGAGTCTATGGCTCACTTGTTGCTCTATTGACTGATGCAAGTAGCTAGGGATGCCATGGTGATCTGTATGGAGATGGGTCTGAACTATTTCAAATGAAAAAAGTAGTTTCTGATCAGTCTGAAGAATTTAATGCTTGTCAGTTGAACACAGCCCATTATATTCATAGCCTTGACCCAATGGTGCCCTTGATGGACTCAAAGTGGATCTGGTTCCCTTCGGAGGCCCCAGTGTGTGACATGTGTTTTACCTTGATATTGTGAAACTTTTTTTCATCTGTTTGGGTCAGATAAAAAAGGTTCAGAGGAGTAAGTTCTCACATTCTGACTTGTATGGAATTGGATATGCGGATGCTTCCTTTGGATTGAAATGGTTGAGATGCTCTCCTTGCAACATCTCTTTGAGGTGCCGGAGGCACAAGGGGAAATCTGACAATATCCAGAGACAGTATGAGTAAAAAAAGTTTAACACATTACTAGTAGCATACCTTTTTTATTGGGGGTTAAGATCAAACATGATCTTTAGGAGATTTTGGAGCCAGTGTCAGTCCTGCCTTGTCTACTCATTATACTGTCAGCTCTCAAGTATCCCAATACACTTAGTGGACACAACTATAAGTTATGTGAGTATTAAAGCCTCCAAGATTTATGATCATCAAACCTCAATAACCACTTGTTTGTTGGTAAAGGAAAGGTTTGATCAGCCATCTTCATACTTTCCCCAAATGGGAGGAGGGGATCTTGGCCCTATGTGGGTACTTGAGGAAGTCCTATCTCTGGAGTCTGGAATTTAATGATCATGTCCGGCTGTATTCCACTCCAGGCATTCTTTTAAACCCATGAGGTATTCACAACTAGTCTCTGAATATACAGTTATTCTGAGAAAGTTTGTCCATGTCTGAATTTTTTTGCTTTGTTGTCAAACTTTGTCAAACTTTTTGTTCCTTGGGCATAAGCTTTGACAACTCAGCAAGGATTCAACTAGCTCGGAGCACCCTTTGGGTGGGAGACTGGGAGTCCTCCTTGACTTAGTAGATTCCTGTTGAGTTGATTTGGTTTATGCATATGACTAGAGGAGAAAGAAAAATATCTGGAGGAAAAAATATTCCAGATTGGACAACCTTTCTTGGAATAGCTGTAGTTGTCACATCACATCTTGATTTTAGTTTTGATTTTCACCAGGTTTCATTCCCTGAATGACTTTCTTGCCTCTCTACATCACCTTTTCCTCAGCCTGAAGACACTTTTTGCTCAATTTCATCCAACTTTCTTTTCACAAATTCTACTGTCAAAGGGATTCCTCAACTGCAAGTTCACTCCAGGCCGACGTTTGACAGGTCTTGTCATATCAACTCTTTGATCTTTCTTTGATTTACGCTTTCTGATCAAGCTGATTAGGCATTTCTTGAATAATGAGGCAGAAAACATCTCATTCTCACTCAATAATTTTAGGGCCTGCACCATAGGAGTGAATTTTGAAAAATGGCAATTTTTTTCTGTCTCCTACACAAAAATTCAAAACAATTGGAGATACCTGGTGTTGAAATTCTTCAAATTTGAGCTTATAAATTGCCTTTGGTGATGGTCACTTTTGATCATATGAGAATTTGAGGAATATGGATTCTGAAAACTTATGAAAAATTGAATTTTCATGCCATATGGTACAGGCCCTTAAATCCCTTTACCTTCCATTGACTTCATTTCTCATTTTGTTTGTTACTGAACTCAATTGATCTCTACTCATAATAATTGCTTTGCTCGTTGGTAATTGAAAGAAAATGTTATTTGAAATCCATTTCCTTTTATGGGGGTGGTCGTTTGTATTTGAGAGAATCATTGAAACCACCAAAGGCATGAAAGGCTCTATTAAACAGAACAAATTGTTCCGGGGTTAGCTGATGTCGATGTGCTTGGTGCATCGGCCGAGATTGGATGCCGGTCGAGTCTGAGGCCGGTTGACAAAGATGTTAGCTCGAATGATCCATTCGGTCATCCTCAAATAAACATCCCAATCGAAACTCAACTGGCATAAGATTGGGAGAATTCCACAACACATTTGATCGAGGTGGGATTCGGAGCAAGCTTGCTTGGTGTAAGACTGCCAGTAGAACGATCGCCAGAGTTGAAGACCAGGTTTTGTCGCTGATGATGATAAGCCGAGTCGGCAAAACTTGCCAGCTGGATCTGGTCGGAGGTCGACTCCAACTGTGGGGAACTTAAGATCCGAATCTCTTGGACTGGATTATGTCTGATCATCGCAAATCGCTCCAGTTCATCCGGTTCCTGTCTTTGAGTTTGATGCCTCATTCCTCCTAGTAATCTCTTCGGGTAGTCATATGTGGGCTGTTGTTTGAGATCCTGAGTCCTGATCGATGCCGGTTGGAAGTGGAGGAATCCATACCCTTTGAACCAATCTGTCTGTGAATCCTGCCGGACCCCAACGTCAATAGAGGAATAGTAATCAGCTTGACTATCTACATCAAATATCGCGTTCAACATATCAAGAGACTATTGATATTATCTTTGAGCTGATTTCGTCCATGTGGAGAACTGAAACTACTTTTCTAGACTGAGATTTTCATTTACCCTTGGAAAATAAGCATAGATTATATTTTCTTTTGGAAATTTACGCTGGAAGTGATCGATGATCGAAAGAATCACCACTGGGTTTAGACATGAGCTTGAAGTAGCCTTGATTGATAGGATGGTGGGTCGGAACTTAGCTAGCTTGCTCATCGTCTCCTTGGTCCATTTTACACAGTTGCTGCTGTGCAGAATGTTGGATTACATGGCCCCCGAAACAGCATGGTTGGCCGTGTCGCCCCGAGGGTACCCGTGGGTGATGAGATCATTCGATAACCCCGAATGACTATTTCAAGACGCTGGCCATGTCCACAACTGTGGCCGAGCACTTGGCTTGTTTGAATGCTAACGAAACTCTTTTTGCGGCTTTGGACAACAATGAAATCGAAACCCACCAGTCCCATTCCGGCTCATGGGCCGACCGTTCAATGCACGTTTCTAGAGGAAGGACGGATAATGATGGTGGCAATGAATCGACCGAAATACTTGAACTCGATGACGGACGAGGTATGATCTTATGTTCAAACAAGTTCCCATGGGCACTTTTGTAGACTCATCTCTTGACCTTGATTAATCTCACAACATCTGATATTCTCTGACAGATTTAGGAATATTTTTTTTCTAATTGATAGATGCAAAGCGAGTTGGAACGTGTGTTAGATTATGCAGAGGATGAGCCTTCTATCTGGGCGATCGTCATCACAGGCACAGTCACTCCGAATGTCACCAAGGCTTTTTGCGGAGGACAGGATCTAAAAGGTAAGTTAGATATGAAAATGAAAACCTTGGATGATGGAAGACCATTGATTGACCGATTTGATTCTCCTGGATTTACAGATTGGTTCAAGAAGAAAGATGAAGACCAAAGGGAACGATTACTGAAAACACCCAAAGGGTTTGGCTCGATCTCTCGTCGCCATTCCCGTAAACCTATGATAGCTGCAGTCGATGGACTCTGTCTTGGGGGTGGTTTGGAGCTTCTACTCAACTGTGATCTGGTGATTGCGACAGAGGAAAGTGTAAGTAAACTTGAACTCGATTACAATTTTGAAGATATGTCCGTCAGACTAATCCTCATGAGATCTATCTATTTCATTCTTAGACATTTGGCTTTCCTGAAGTAAGCAAAGGAGTGTTGGTCGCTCAAGGTGGCATACCCAGGCTGCTACACCACTGCGGCAGAAGTCTGGCCTCAGAGCTTCTTTTTCTTGGTCGTTCGATTGATGCAATCACAGCACGTGATCGGTTTCGGATCGTTAACGAGGGTATGTGACCATCTTGTTGAACTTGTAACTGTTAACCCCCCAAATGCCCATTCCTAATTATGGATTATTCTGATGAACTGCAAAAAAGTGGTACCCACATCAGAAGACCTCATGCCAGCGGTCCTGAAGATGTCAAAACAGATCATCTCCAATTCGCCCGCGGCTGTTCAGCTGACCAAACTTGCCTTGGTCGACACGTTACGTCGGGGTCATCGAAGCTTCTTGAGGAAAGGAGAGCTTATCAAATTAGAGGAACTTGAGAGTGAGATCGGCAACGGGATCGAACAAAGTACGGTCTCAACCATCCTCAGAGACGAGTTCGAGGATTGGTTTGCTGGCCCTGATATGCAAGAGGGTCTCCAGTCGTTTGTCGAAGTCAGTCCAGTCTCCTTTACCTAGATAATCATCTTTCTGTTTCTTGTTTTGTTGGCGGTCATTAATCATAACTTTCATCCGTTCCATATTGGCATCTGATCTGACTTATGTCGGTCTATCAGAAGCGTAAACCTAAATGGACTGACCCAGTCAAGAAGAAACCCAGGTCTAGCAAACTCTAGCCCCATTTGTATCACAAGCGGTCCTGGAAAGAGGCGATCTTTGGATGCTGCCTGCTTGGTTGTGGAACCTGGGAGGCCATGCTGGCTCTGTAGTTGCTAGGCCTTGAAAACCTACGTTGTAAAACAGATATGAAAACATTGTACTCTATTTTACTGTTTATGTAAAACAATTTTCATTTGCAGTTTTCTGGGCCGGAATCAACAATTTTGTACCAATGTTAACAGAAACACTCGTCCATCTTAAATCTTTCGAGAATCAGCTTGGCAACAACAATTGAAAAAGACGAAACTTGCTTGGCTGAAAAGATGTTTACAACAGACCAAAGTGAGTTGATAGATTACGCGATTCAAGTAACCACTTGGTCGTATTTTAAAGAAGAATGCTAGGGTCATCTGTGAAAAAGTACAGACATTTGTTGACTCAACAGAAGTGATAGCCCAGATGGCTTGATGGTAACACATTGTATTGATTACAGGAATGCCGATGTGACGACCTTCCAGCATTCCCACCACTGCTTAACCATAGCGGGGAAATACTGCTGTGGAAAGATTATCAAATCAAAACAATAGGATGGATTATAGTTTTGATTGCATCAGAAAAAGAAGATTGATTAAACGAGCGGACCAATTATCCAAACATCATCTGGTCAGTGAGCTGAAAGAAAAAAGAATTGAAAAAAAATGGAGTTGTTGTTTTTTTTGGCTCATAATTACCAGGATTCCAAAGATCCACTACATGATAACACCATTTGTCTGGTCGAGATTGATCTGTGAAATCTTTTAGAAAAATAAAAAAGAAACAAGTATAGAACTCTGGTTAAGATCGATCAAATGTCCTGAATAGAGAGACTGGATAATAGTAAGACAAGTTTATCTGAGCAAGGATGATTACCCCTTTTTTGTTTTTGGTTTTTTTTGGGGGGCAGTAGACCACCATCTTTTTCACACAAGGAAAATTTGATAAAAAAACAAAGACAGTGTAAAGGGAGATTGAAAAGGAAGGATGAGTTTAAAAGATGATACGGTGTGACGTGTTGCTGAGGCAGATAGCATGTACCAAAGTTGAGACTGGTCCAACCCATCTGTCTTCATTTCTAGACATAAACCGGCGACCGTTAATACACAGAGATCTTTATTCGGCGCCGTTGCCGTTGAATTTGTGGCGTTGTTTGCTGCCGTATTGCGTCATGCCTTTGCCAGAGCCGACAACACCAACTGTAAATTAAGAAATAGAAGTCAAGTCAGCTTGCAAGCAATAAAAACTGAGGTGGATGGTAGGGGTGAAATCGAAAGTTTATATCAAATCTGCGATGTGTGCAAAAATGACGAAAGGAACGGTGATTGGAAAGAAATATAAATCGGGACCCGATGAGGCTTTGACCCTTGGTCAAACGGAAAATATACGACTCGGTAAAAAATCAGTCAATTGATTCAACAATATACATATATACATATAATAACAAGAAACATCCCACGAGTAAGTAAGTGTGATGGCATTCCGAGAACTGAGCCACGAGAGTCGTCACCTTCCTTGGATGGGGGGTGATAGTTGGACCATCAACATGCTCGCCAAACTCATGTGCAATCATCAAGTAAGAATCTTTTAGGAAAAAGACAGACAGAAAATTCGAGAAGGATGATTGATTGAAAGAGGTAAGGAATCAAACAGAAGACAGAAGGTAACTGACCCTTTCCGAAGGGATTGTCGGGCGATGCAAACATGGAATCACCAACCTAAGATGATGCATATAGATCAACAGAAGATCAGCTATGAAAAAAGCTTAAGAGAAAGGTTGAATACTCACGATACCAGGAATATGGACGCCCTTTTTGACGCTCTTCTTAGCGAAGGACTGCCACGATTTCTGTTTCTCGAGCTGTTCGGCGGCCTTGGCGGCCTTATTCTCGGTCTTCTTCTCGTTCTTCTTCCGTTTGCGATCCTTGTCGGTCTCCTGTTCGACCGCCTCTAGATTCCTCTTCTTCTGGTCGACTATCGGCCGGATTTCGGTAGCCGCGACTAGCTCGGTGGTGTCGTATCCCTTGAAAACTACCGTGTATATCCTCGTTTCTGATGAACCCCCGATTCTACAGCAAGATTGCAAACTATATGAATCGCTGATTTGAACGATACCCTTCTTGGAAAGAGCACTCACGTTGTGATTTTTGCTGGATAATACTTTCCATCTCCAGCATATTTAGCCATACATAGATCGCCAGGATTGAGAGACTTGATATCGGTTTGGTTTGTTGAAGTTGATTGAGATTTATTATGATTATTATCAGATTCATTATTGGGAGTTTTTGAAGCCTGACGAGAGTGTTTATTATTGGAGTGGTGACTTTGAGCAGGATCTAATGAGGATTCTTTATGGTGATCACCGGAGGGGTTAGTGTGTTTGCTACTACCAGTCTGAGCTAGGAAATCTTTGGTAAGAGTGATGAGATTGACAAGTTCTCCCTGCAGACTTAGACATTCGGCGTTCGTCGGGTCTTTTTCGAGGACCAGGTTAACCTGTGAACAATGATCTCAGGAACGGCTTTAGAGTGCTGATGGATGTATTTGTTTGTTTGTAGTCTGATTGGGAAGACTGACCTGACTGAGTTGGTATTCATAAGTTTCTAGTTCTTTGGCATCCATGTTGTTTCGAGTGTGTGTGTGTGTGTATGTTTTTGGTTTGTGGTGAGTTTGGAGTTCGTCTTCAGGATTACGATGGGGCAGTGATATGTCGTCTGTAGTCGAAGGTGTGGTGGTTGCAGTTGGAGGTTGGCCTGGTTGGAGTGGTCTGGCTGGTCGCCACCTTCAGGAGGAAACCGGAGCCCCCTTCGACTGAGAGGATCTGCAGTGGGTGACCCCCTCCAGCCGCAGCACTCAGCCATGCACCTTCAGTCTTCTGTTCTCTCAGTCGCGCTTGCTGTTCAACTTGGACCACCACCCACCACCGAGGCAACACCATGGAGGACGGATTGATTTGTCAGTACAACATACTCACTATATCCCTTCATTGATTTCGTCCTAATTCTGAACGAGTTGCGGGGTTGACTGGTTTATCGTGTTTTCGTATAGTTTTCAAATAAATAACACCGGCTGTTAGGCTATCATATAGGAAACCAAATGTAAGGTATATCTCTGTCCAATGGAATCAGGGGAGTGCGGCATATATTTATATCTATCCAAAATCATGTTATACGTCCTTCAGTTTCTGATTGATGCTGAGGAACTTGCGGAAAATTTTCGATCATCCTCGTCGCGTGCAACATAAACTCAGCCCAACTGGATCAATCACCATCAAGACACGCTCGAATCAATTGTATCTCCAATCCTATTCTCATCATCCAACATCCCTCGTAACTTTCAGGATGGGCGCTCCCGCAAGCTCATCCTCCAACTCGAATGGTCCGACCAAACAAGCCACCTTGAATAAATTCTTCTCCAAACCTGCTGGCCATAAACCTGCTCTCGTCCAGGCAACCGTCAACAGTCTCTTCAATAAACAGAATCGTAAAAAATCTGAAGAAAAAGAAGAAGATACAGGCCAGGGACATGTCAGTCGTGATCTGAAACGAGCACCATCCATCGATGTAGAGGAACACGAGAATCCAGCGAGGAGTTCGAAGCGCGCCAAATCAAATCAAACTAAAAAGGCGGAAGAGAATGATGATGATAAAGACGCGATTAAAGCAACTGAAGAGCCTAGGGAGGAACCGAAACCAACCAAGAAAATCTCCAAGAAACAATCAAAAACGAAAGTTGAAGAAGCAGAAGAGTTAAACGAGCTGAAAGTCTCGAACGAACCTATCCAGAAAAAAGAAACACCGGTGATCCAACAGGAGGAGCACACTGACGAGGACGAGGAAGCTGAAGAGTTAGCGATTCTAGATTGTGGAGATGACATGAATCAGCAGGAGGGTGGTGTGAGCTGGGAGAAGGGGAAGCCGATCCCATATTCCAGTCTAGCCTATACATTCAACCTGATTGACGGGACGACAAAGCGACTCGAAATCACCAAATATCTGACCCAATACCTGATCCAAGTGATCAGTCGGACGCCCGATGAACTGCTCAAAGTGATCTACCTTTGCATCAACCGACTGTGTCCCGACTACGAGGGAATCGAACTGGGTATTGGCGAGTCTCTACTCATCAAAGCTATCGGATCCTTCCATGGGTAGGACGATCGCTCAGGTGAAGCAGACTTCAGAACGTCGGCGATCTCGGTAGCGTCGCGCAGATAGTCGATCACTCAAAAGACTATGTTCAGCTAACTCTTGACGGTTAATAGTGTCTATGAGATTTGAAGACCATTGCGACTACTTCAGGCAATTCAGTCAGTCTCCACGTAATCATCCAATCACGTCTTTTTCCCCATAGACTCGCAAACAATGTGATCCTTATCACTGACCTTTCCTCCCCCAAAAAACCTCCTAATAGTCTCAAGCGAAAAAAGTCGGGATCATTACAAAATTGCTGGCGTCTTGTCAAGGCGAAGAGGCCAAATTTATCATCAGATCCTTAGAGGGTAAACTACGAATCGGACTGGCTGAACGGACAGTCCTAGTGGCTCTTGCCAATGCTGCCGTAAGAACTGGTGTTGGTCAGTATACTTTCATTCCAGGCTCGCAGAAGTCAAAACTGCGTTCGACGAATGAGAGTATTTGATTGATGGTGGCTCTTACTCCAGGTAACAAGTCGAACTCGAAGCGTAAAAGCTCATCGGAGGATTTGGCGAAGGATATCCTGGAGGGAACGGAGATCGTCAAAGCAGTCTTCTCCGAGATCCCTTCCTACGATCTTGTGATCCCAGCCCTACTTCAAGGAGGTATCAAAGGACTCAGAGAAAATTGTAAATTGACTCCCGGGGTGCCGTTGAAGCCTATGTTGGCGAAACCTACTAAGGCTATCTCGGAGGTCTTGGATCGGTTCGAGGGCCACAAATTCACCTGTGAATATAAATATGATGGTGAAAGAGCTCAGGTAATGTGTTTTTGTTTTTCCAGAGCCAAAACAAAAGAATGGTAGGGGTAAAATTAACACGAGAATTCGTCTCATTTTTTTTTTTTTTTGAAATAGATACATTTTTTGAGTGATGGATCGATTAGTATCTTTAGTAGAAATTCGGAAAATATGAGTGTGAAATATCCGGACATGGTAGACCAATTACCGAGAGCGATCAAGAAAGACGTAACGCGGAATTTTGTGTTAGATGCAGAAGCGGTAGCATGGGACCGAAGCACCAAGAAGATCCTACCGTTCCAAGAGCTAAGCAAGCGGAAGAGGAAAGATGTGAAAGCGGAGGAGATCACGATCCAAGTGCACATCTTTGCATTCGACTTGCTCTACTTGAACGATCAGCCGTTGATCAATACGGATTTTAGTCACCGGAGGAGCCTGTTGAAGGAGCATTTCAATCAGATCGAGGGCGAATTCAGTTTCGCCACTGCGGTCGATGTCGATAATGTCGAGGAGATTCAGACCTTCCTCGAACAGAGCGTCAAGGCTGGCTGTGAAGGCTTGATGGTCAAAATGTTGGACGGCCAGAGCGCGCATTATGAACCTAGTAGAAGAAGTATGAATTGGCTTAAAGTCAGTCTTCCTCAATTCACCTCTTCATCTTTTCTCATTTCATCCAAATCAAACCAAAATATTCTTTTTTTTTTTATTAATTCACATTGAAAAAAAAGGTTAAGAAAGATTATCTAGCAGGGATAGGCGATTCATTAGACCTAGTAGTAGTAGGAGCCTACCATGGGAAAGGAAAACGGACGGCAGTCTATGGGGCCTTTTTACTGGCCTGTTATGATCCGGAGACGGAGAGTTACCAGACGATCTGCAAATTGGGCACCGGGTTCAGCGAGGAAGTGCTCGACTGTTTGCATACCAAATTGCACCCCTTAGAGCTGACCGTCAAGAAGAATTACTATGATGTCGGCGAGTCCAAGCCTGATGTTTGGTTCGAACCTAAGCTCGTCTGGGAGGTCTTGGCCGCCGATCTAAGTCTCAGTCCCGTCTATAGTGCCGCTAAAGGTTTGGTAAGTTTCGCACTTTTCCTCTCTTTTTTTTTTTGGACTTTTTTTTGTGCTTTAAATCGGTTGGATTGGCTTGGGCTTGACTAAATTGTTTTTGGTTACTTTTTTTTTTTTGGTTGTTATAAGTGCGGTGATGGGACTCGAGGAGTTTCTCTAAGATTCCCTCGATACATTAAAGAAAGAGACGACAAGAATGGCGAAGATGCCACATCATCCGAACAGGTAAGATACCCATTCCCGAAGTCTTTTTCTTTCTTTCTTTTTCTTTCATTCTTCTAAGCCTTTTTTTTCACACATATTGTTTTTTTTTTTCGCTTAGGTTGCTGAGATGTATAAGAAACAGGCCTCGACTGTGGATCAGGCCGGAGCTCGGAATAAGAAAAAGAAAGGTAAAGCTGGGCAGGACGATATCGAGGATGATTTTTGGTGATCGATCAACCTTGTTCACTTGGATAATTGAGTATGAACTTTCAAACCTCAAAACTTGTTTTTTTGAAAAAAAAAAAAAATACATGTCAATCCTGTCTTCTTTTTTTTATGTGATTTTCTTTCTTTGTTTTATTTTGATCAGTTACATAAAAACATCTTTTCATGTTTTTATCTTCATGTGTGTGTATGTTCGATTCTTAATTGATTAAATAGTTAGTTACTTCTCCTTTAATGATAAACAAAACCTTACAAACTGTGATCATGCATGTTAGAAATGCCAGAGCCCAGCGGCAGGGGTGCGCAACTCTACCGAGCAACACCCCCGAAAGATTTATGTGGTTGCAAAGCTCCTACTAAAAAAACTCCCCGAGATTGGGGACCATGATAAAAACACGATAAGGTAAACATGTGTTTGAAGACTGTTTTGAATCTGGTCAACAAAGTGCTTCTTTATTTCTGGGTGAGCAAGTCTCCCACAGGGAAAAAAAAAGAGATCTATGTACTGGTCTGATCAGATAAAGGTTTGATTGCTAGAAGATGTAGGGGAATGAATGTCCCAACATGGTTTCCTGCCACTACCATCAAATAAGTTAGGATCAAGTGAATTGCAGTTTGTTTTGAGGATGAGTGTTTGTTTTTGTTCTTTTCTTTTCATGAAACACCACTGTTGAACATTTCCATACATTTATTACTTTTTTTGTTTTTGTTTTTAGTCAGGTTGAGGTAATATATTATTTATGTACATGAATGATGCATAAGGAAGTGTTAAGTGGATAGATATATCGATGAAGTGGTAGATTAGGGGGTTCATCCTGCTTTTTCTTGATCAGAATGTGGTTTTGAGTTTGCTGTGATTCTTCTAACTCTCTCTCTCTCTCTCTTCTTTATCCCTCTATCTCTTCTCTTCCTTTCCTTATTCCTTATCTTTCTTTCTTTTCCTTTCTCCAACTATTTTACAAAGATATACGACATAAACCATTGGCAAGATGCCCTTACTCGATCGAACCGAGGTCTCACCCTTACCCCTCCCCAGCCAACTCAATCAACTCAATCCAGACACCGAGCTTTGGCTGATCCACCAGACGGGCGAGATCTTCACTGACTACGAGTTGAGTCAAAAACCAAAAAAAAAAACCAAAAACCAAAAAACCAAAAAAAAACTTAACTAAGCAACATCCAACAGGTCTTATGCCAATCGATACATCTTTTACTCTCAGCCGATCTTCAACCCAGCACACCACCACCAACCAACCGAACAACAACAACAACAACAACCAGTCTCATTCTTCCATGCACTCAACCTCGAACAACAGCACCTCGACCAGCTCATCCAATCCAAATTCCCAATCTCACTCAAACACCAACTCATAGCCTCAATCAACCATCCAACTGCTCGTAAGTAACAACAACAAAACAACAAAACAAAACAACAACATACTGACACATCCCACAACAGAACTACAACCAAACATCGATCATCTAGTCAACTATCTCTACGAACTATACCACAACCGATTCAATGTGGGTGAGAAAGTCACTGTCGATCTGGCATTCAACCAATTACAACCCAGTTCACCCTCCTCATCCTCAGTCTACGATGCCAAGGTCCTCAGGGTATTCCCCCCCAAATCAATCAGAGATCTCGATAAGAACTCATACTCCGACCTAATCCATCTCCAATCCATACAACGATTCCAACTCGATCTCAACCAATGTCTAGAGATCGATCTGCCCAACCAATACCTATATACCATCCAACTCATCGATCATGACCAATCTAACTCGGATAACTTTGGCGCGAGTTACATGGAAGTGGAAACTAGGAAACTCAGGTACTTGCACTCACACACACATACTCAAATCGAAAACCCTTACTGAAATATCCTTCATTCATCAGTCGACACACAGATACATTCTCAAAAGCACTCTTGAAAAGATTCCTGCAATCTGTCCTAATACCCTACTCATCCAGCCAACCAGCCTTCCCCAGATGGACCATCCATCCAGACGTCTCAATCCCCAATACCATCCCAATCAAACCGATCCCAGTCCCAAGTTACAAATCATTAGTCAAGGACTACGACTCCATCACTCGAATCGCACTAGAACCCAAACAGGATCATTATCTTCTCGAACCGGACCCCAAGAAACGCAAGAAGAACAGCTTCCAACCTGCCAACCATCCACCCCAACACACAACACTACCTGAAACCTATCAGGACTATCTCAATCATTCAACCGAACTCAAGGAACGATTAACTTGTGCTCAATTCATCCATCTCTCATCCAAACAGAAATCTTATCAGATCGATCAACTAGAACCCAAAGATCAGTACTCCATCGAGTCTTGTAACCAGAAGAAGTTGATCAAGAAGAAGAGGAAGAAATTTCCCGATCCAATCGATCCTTCCACTATCCCTCATCCACTCAATTCTCAACCTGATCATCTTCATCACGATCATCATCTAACCGTCAACACTCAACTAACCAACTCAGCCGATCTTACCCTTACTCACATCGGCACTACTACCCCTAGCACCGCAACAAAAGAATCCAAGAAATCAATCAAATACCCAAGTAGGTTTTCCCATCTCCCTGTGCGAAATCACATATGAGCAGAATTACTGATCGGCTTCTTGTTTCTTGGCTACTAGTTGAAGATCTTGATCTCGATCCATTCACCGTCATTGATGGCCGATACCTACGACGAGCCAATCCAACCCCATTGAAGCTACCCAAAAAGCCACAGCCCAGCCAACAGAAGCTAGGTCGAAAATTTGCACAGCGATTGAAGATTTGGTCATTTGTGAACATCTTCAAATTGAACGAACAACGATGTCGATTTGAAGAGCTCGATGAGAGTCTGGATGATTTGACGGCCAGTTTGGTCAAGTTAATCCTCAGTCAAAGTCGATTGAGATACCCTACTACGAGATCACAACGCTTTACTTCGATCTCCGTCTTGCCCTTCTTTGCCACTCGTCCGGCTCAAGAGTGTCGAGCGATGAGCATCGATGAGCGAGAGTATTGGGTCCGCAAAGGTCTCCGGTTCGTGAATATCACTCGCAGGTTACACGAGTTTGCGATGGCCACTGCTGCGGGAAAGCGGAAGAACAATCGGACGGTACTCGAAGAGGATTGGGTGATGGGGCTGGTCGAGATCATGTGTCATCGAGGTGGGATCGAACGCCTGGGCTGTATGGCCCGGATGCTCAAGTACTTCTTCTCGACCGATGCCACCCTCTTGACGATCGATCACACGATCGACGAGCACGATGATCCACTGCTCGATCAAGCCAATAACACCCAAGACCCACATCCCAAGACGAAACCCGAACAGGCTAACAACACCTCACAGACTTGCCATCCTGATTTGGAAGGAGACAGTCCTCTGTCGAGCAACATCGATGATAGTTTGTCGGCCCAAGAGAGTGAGCTCTCGGATCTGGACAAGGAGGAAGACGTCGAGCCTGAAGCTGGCGGGACAGAAACGGCAGATGAAGATGGACGCAGATATGGCAGATCGATTCGTAGCCAACGAAGCAATCCTAGGGTCTTGAAGAAAACTTTGGTCACTCGTTATGCGTCTCTTCCTGTGGACGATAAACTCAATCTGATCGAGTTCCTCTGTGATCTGGCCACTGAGACCCCACGGTTCGCAATTATATGGACGAATGCGATGAGAAATTGACCGTCGTTCGTCGCGAAAAGGCTGATGTAAACAAGGAGAAACGCAAAGTGTCGGTGTGATCTCCCAATCCATGATGTTTGAACTTTCTGATTGATTTTATTTATTTATTCTTTAAATAGACTGGAAGAACTGGCACGTCTCGAGACTCGTAAGGCTGAAGCAGCACTCAAAGCCCAGCCAGCCTCGACCACTACTGAACCTAGTAGTAGCACGACCGCCAAGGAAGGTGTGCAATCACCAGCAACCGAGAAGACGGAGCCAAAGCGGGAGTCTGCAGGCCCGACGCACGGCTCTCCGGAGGTGATGTTGGGGACCGGAGGCATAGTGGGTGGTGGGGAGGCGGAAGATGAGGGGAGCAGTAAGCCACGGTCGAGCGGGCCGAGCAAGCCGACGACGACGGCGACGTTCAACTCGAGTGGCAGTCGGTCAATGTCGCTCGATGGGCCTTCGAAGCCGGAGTCCCCGGAGACGCAACGACAGTCCAACAAGCCGGTCGGCCGAAGACTGGAGACGGCGGTCCGAACGGCTACCCTACTTGCTCGTCAGATCAAACCACCCTCACCTACCAATCCCAGTGATTCCGCTTCGGATCCTCAGGCGAAATTCGCGACTGAGAAGGCCACACTCGACGGCCAACTTTTTGACGTCGGCCTCAAAGAACTCTTCTTCCTCGAACGATTTCGGCAGTTGATTGGTGTGGCGAAGCTCAAACCATTAGGGACCGATCGGTTCTTTTGTAAGTATTGGTGGTTCGATGGGGTCGGTGGATTGGAGATCCATAGCACCAAATCATCCAAGCCGGGCTCATCCCTCGATCCTCCTCGCCCTTCATCATCTTCTCATCAAACTCCTGAAGAAGAAGAACAACGAGAAGAAGAAGACGAAGCAGAAGTGATCGAGACGAATTGGTATGCCGGCTGTCTCTTCATCTCCGGCCCTACGCTGGATGAATGGGAGAAGATCTCGAGCATCTATGGCGGTCATCAGCAGCTCTTCAAACGTCGGTTTCATGAAGAATTGGGCATCGATCTTGGGCCTCGTCCTCTTGTCGATACTCATGCTCATAATGATCATCTAGGGGTGGAGCAACTTAAACAACAGATCGTCGGGGTCGATGAGTGGGCTATTTATGAAACTGAAGAACAAGTCAGAGTTTTTTTTTCCCCTTGTTTTTTATACTCTCTTTTTCACTCGGAGAAAGGATGATTTGACTGACTGAAAAATGCAAAAATGCAAATAAAAGATAGAAGAATTGATCAATTGGTTGAATGCTAAAGGCGTCCGAGAGAACAGTCTGAAGTCGAACCTGAAAGAATGGAAAGAGTATATCTTGGATGGGATTCTCCAACGTCGTCGTCTCAACCAACAGCATCAAGAAATGAGTACTACTCCTCGACTCAATGGTAATAATACTGGTCATGGTAATGATGATGAGCATAAAGTCATCGATCATCATAGTAGTGATAGTAGTAGTAGTATTAGTGATCATGATGATAGTGAGCTTGATGAAGACCAAATCGGATCTGATTGACAATCTTCTTTTTATTACCACTACTACTTTTTTCTTTTCCTTTCCCTCCCCTTTTTTTCACTTGAAGTTGATGATTTGATTTAATGCTCAATTCTACACGGTTTTTTTTTTTTTCTTACGTAATAACTTTTTTTTTCTTCCATGCACACATACCACGACATACATATCTCCACACACACACATACATACACCCATATGATCTATACCCCCGTTTTCTTTTCTTTTCTTTTCTTTTGCTTGATCTGGGTTTCTCATCTGTCTTTCTCCCTTTTTTTTCTTGGAGAAGAAGGGGCGGAGGACGGAAAGGAAGGGGAAAGAAGGAGGTCGGGAGATCATGTTTCATTTTGATTGGATCGAAGGTTCTTCTTTTTTTCAGTCTTTTTTCCCCTATGATGATCTTTTATCTTTTCTTCTTTCCCTTAATTTTTTTTTCTTTCGAGTTTTTGCCCTCTCTTTATTTCTTCCTCCTTTTATTCTTCCTATGGATGGGGAGAATATAGAGGTGGAAAAGGAGTCGTTCTGGAGAAGAACTGATCATATATAAAACAAAGAAAAGAAAACCACCAAGACCTCTTCCTTGCCTATGAGTGTATGACTATGATGTCGAACACAGTTGTCCTTCATACAAATTGAACATCACACAAAAATGTATCATCTGCAACATGAACAAGAACTACATAGTTTCTCTTTTCTAGGTTTTTTTTTTTTTTCATTAGGGGGCTTTCACATGTTCGACTGTGAAGAGCAGATCAGAAGATTTGCTCGTTTGATTGGTGAACTGTTGTTGGGAGGGGGTCTTGATTCCTTGGTTCCGGTTGAGACCACGCCTGGTCATGCTGCCGACGTGTCAGCGATGGTTGGGCAGCCGGCGCTGGACTGTTGTCAAGTTTGAGCCAGCAGGAAAAAAAGAGGGAGAGGGTGCCAAGCCAAAACACTCAACACCACTCAGACCACTTAAAGAAGCCTCTCTACATACCCACCACTACCACACCGAACTCCTACTCCAACAGACACATACGAACGAACGAACGAACGAAGAATTCGAAACTTGCAAAAAAACAAGAAAAACAGAAGATATCACAATGCCATCAGACCTCAGAAAACGCAAGGCAGAATCCAGCGGTCTTCCCAGCACAGTCAGCAATCCCAAGCCAGCGGCGAATGAAGTAGGCCATGCAGCCTCGAACCGCCAGAAGCCGACGATCGCACCGACGGTCTTCATGCTCCTGATCGTCGGACTGATGTTCGCACTCTTCCCGATCTTCTACTACACCCAGGTCATGCTCCCAGACCCGCTCTCCACCTCGATCCTCTCCAACTTCAGGAACAAGGGAAACACTATCCTCAACGCTCTCGGACATACTTCTTCCGCCGGGAACGGTCGGATCCCTTTCAATTCTGAACACAAAAATCAGCCACCACCGGCAAGCAAAGGAATGGCCCCTCCTATCATAGAACAAGAGAATAAAGATAGCCTTCCTCCATCTGGATCTCTTGGCCGCCAAACAACCCAACCACCAGACACGATGGCCAAAACATCAGATCCGATTACCACCTCGACCACAGCGACCACAACGACGACGACTCCGAGTGAGAAACTAAGTCCGGAGAAGCAGAAGAAGCTAGACGAAGAGCTCGGCTTATTTTGGGAAGCCTCTAGTCGCTATCGCCGGGAAGCGCAGAAACAGAAGGCGGGGCAATATGCATTACAAGGCGATGGCACGGCCCCCCCACCCCAAAAGGCAACAACAGCAACAGCAGCAAAAGAAGAAGAAGAAGGAGCTCACGGAGAACAGCCTCTCTCGTTGGACCGACTCCCCGACGCTGATCCAGATGCTAAGGAAGGCCTCACCCCCGAGTTCTGGGACGCTGTCAAACACCAGTTCTCCGCTGACGACTTGACCCTCGTCCTCAATGATATGCGCAGAACCGAACAAGCCGCTCAATCTCTCTAACTTTAGATCTTCTCTTCTTCTTCTTCAGATATTGTTCTCTTCTCCTTATGTCCCATCTAATCTTCTTCTTTCCTTTTTTTTTGTTTGCGTCGGTTAATCCTTTTTCGAGTCCTTTTATAGATCCTCCTCCTCCTTTTTTTTGGTTATTTATAAATGATCTACATAACAAAACACTTTGTTTTTGTCGGACTTTCTTTTTTTTTTTTTTTTTTCAAAAAAATGTGGTTGTTTGTTGTTGAGACTCTTTCCTCTTCTATCTAGCCTGCTTCCACACTTTTCCCCCTCTTTTCTCAAGGGGGAAACAAAAACAAAAACATCCAATCAATGAACAATCACTAAACAAAAAACCCACACCAAGAACAAAAACAGTGGCGGTCATTGATTGATGCAGAGTCCAGCTTTAGAATGGCCATGTGAGAGTGACCAATCGAGTCAACAAGGAAGCACATACATATGTAGATGAAGAGTATGCTCTCAGGGCTAAGTGAAGAAGCTTGATCCAAATCTGAGTGAGTGATCATGACTGCTTGTACCAGAGGTGATGAGAGAGTTTGCATGCTCAGACATGGGCCAGTTACACTAACTGTAGTGTTAGTGTAGCAGAATTCCACTCAACTTGAGCATAGCATAGTGGAATTCCGCAACATCTGCACTAACACTACGTGCATAGGGCCCACTATGCGACGCTAACACACTGCTTAGCGGTTGTTTGGCCCTGTAGCACAGCGTAGCGTAGCAAAAATCCGCTAAAAAACACTAACACTACAATTTTTTGGTGCAAAAAAAACGCCGCTACGCTGCGCTTTTGGATGTGCCTTGTTGACTGGAAGGATTTCCTTCCAGCCGGCAAGGTACATGTGTACCTTGTTGACCAGAAGTCAACCAGAAGGTTTTCCTTCCAGCTGGCTGCCTCGCCACCCATTTAAAGGGCGGGTATCTGTGGATACCCGCCTAGGCCAACAGAGACCCGCCAGCGGGTTCGGATGCCCCATTCCCCTGAAAAGCGGAGGGGATATCCGGATGACACAGGGCCATCTCTAGTCCTACATGGGTTGCTGAACTAATCTGGTTGCTTTGTTGAGGCCGGAGGGAAACCTCCTGCCTTTGAGACAACTGGAGGAATCCCTCCAGTCATCAAGACGGATTTCTGGGTATATTTGCCTGCAAAAAATCCTCCACATGGCACACCCACAGGTACACAGGTACCCGCCCTGGCAGACCTGGCGGGTGCAGGTACAGGTGTCCAAAATATTGGATTTTTGAGGCAGGTACCCGGGTATGAAGCAACATCTCTAACCTGATTAGATGTCGGGCTGCCCATGGGCTGCAATACAAGAGGTTATACAGGCTGCCCGCAGGCCGTGCTTTAACTGGGTCTAGATTAAGAAATCATAAAAAAGCCTGGCCCAAAACCGGCTGGGTTTGGGCCAACTGTTGGACACCCAGCCCAATTACTCTCCTCATACATGCCTACAAAAAAACTGGTTGGGTTTGGGCAACCTGTTGGACACCCAGCCTAGTTACCATCCTTATTCATGAATACAAAGGAATGCATATGGGGGTGTTGGACTTCTCCTTTTCTGCCCCTTCTGCTCTCCGCTCCTCAAACTCAAACTCACACTCCACAATTCCCTTTGTCCCTTCCTCTTTGTGTCTCATCTCCATCTCCTGTTCTTTTCTTTTTCTTTCTTTTCTCTGTTTTATCTCCATCTTCCATAACTCCATAACTCCTCATTTCATCACAATCTCAACCACAAATTGGCTAACACAATCGTGACCTATTTTCACTATATAATGATCTGGTCTCAGGCTCTAACCAATCATCTCCCCAGAAGCTCACTCAAATCTGTCTTATTGACATCAAATTCAACAACCTGCCTCCTGTTTGGCCTTCAACCTCACACTCATCATCAACTCCTCCATTCAACATTCCTACCTTTCACCTTCCTCTTTCAATTTGCCTTTGGCTCATTCCCGCAATCATCCTATATCTCCTATTGCTGTTCTGTCTTGTTGAACAAACTCATTGACTTCACAAACATATTAATATCTATTCCTGTCAAACTTCTACCCTTCTAATTGCCCCAACTTGCTCCCTCAACCTTCTCTTGTGGCTATTGCCAATTTGGTGAGAAATCATATGACTGATGCTCATCCTCATTGACATCAATCAAGATCACTAACCTTTTCTTTCTTTAGAAGAAACTGTTTTTTGAATCAGCTCTTACTACTTTTTGCTGTTTGATATCATATATCTTTGTCTGTCTGCTTTACTGACTCATAAATTCAAAACTAGCTGTGGTATGCTTTTATATTTTCTCTTCAGATTTTTTTTGTTTGTTCTTATTCAAATTTGAACAATCACCTCAAAAAACCCTCAACTCAATATTTAATGTGAAATGAAACCATCAAAACTGATAACTAATCAAAAAGCTCATCAACCAACCAGAACACAGACAACTCAATGGAGAAAATCAATTCAACCATCCTCAAGACAGCCCTCGAGGGCCATTTCTATACTTACAGCAGACAACTACACTCACTGGAGATATTGAGTCAATAATTTACAAAATCTTTGTGATGCTCTCATGTCAGAAAAAAGGTACTCTGATCGGCAGCCAAGATGTCCAGTTGAGAACCATCATCACTTCAAAGCTTGATTCTTCAATCCAACCAAATGTCATCAAACACAAAAATTAAAAAGACACTCATAAAATCTGGAGCACCATTTCAGAATATTTTGCCTCAACTTAAACTGTGAATTGTGTGCAAGTCTTTGAAGGAATACTTGACTTATCTTTTAATGTTGGAGATTTTCAGACCTTCATAACCTCAGTCAGAAAATTTGAAATCAGAATTGATCTTCCTCATGACCTGGTTGTGTACATTCTTCTAAAAAAGCTTCCTACTTCTCTTGTCAACATAAGTCAACAAATCACCCATTTCAACAAACCTCTTACAAGTGATCTTGTCCTCAATCACCTCAGGCTGTTCAACAACAATCAAACTGCCATAAACATTGAAAAGTCAAGTTCCGGGTTCAAAGAACAATCCCATTGCTATGTACAGTCTCATCCCAGATGTTTATAGCCATCTGCTTTGAGCTCCACAGCGGGAAACCAAAAACTTCAAGTCACAAGATTTTGTGGAATGGTGGAAAATAGGTTTCAAAGAATGAATATGAAAAAATAAAAATAGTAAACAAGATTTTAAAATTTGTGAAAAAGATAAAAGAAAATCAACCTTTTTTTTAAAACTTTAATTTTTGGTTTGAGTGAAAAGTCAACACACAGAGGGCAAGTTTGGAACATGAAAAGAATGATTATAAATGAAAAATATTGATACCAAAAAAGTTTGAGCATGGTGGGTGGACACCCTGCAGTCAAAATTAGTAGATTGCAGTACCAGAATGCCACATTTCTTGGTGAATGACCTCTTAGGCACCCTTTATAAACCACGAAGTAGTCATTTATTTCCAAATTTTCACTTCTTATTATTCATTCCAGATCTCATACTATCATCTCTGATATTTCATCTTTTCCTGAAAGAAATAGGGCCTTAGCTAATCAACTCCCAAACTTGGGAGGATTGACTCCCAAATTTGGAAGTCGTCGGGAGGACCACTTGGGGACATTCCCAGGACATCCCCAGCCCCAAAAACCCAGCTCCCCCTAAGCCGTGGGAGTCACTCCTCCCATTCCTGCAGTAGGAATGGGAGTCCATTCTCTCAATAAAATAATAATAAAAAATCATTTCCCGGAATCCATCAAGATTTGGACAAGTTCAGCGGCCGGAGGGAATCCTCCCGGCCGTTGAAGTTTGTCCCCCCCCCAACAGCCTGTACACCTCAACGGCTCCTCCCGGTCGCTGAGAGTGTACAGCTCTCAGCGACCAAGATGATTCTCCCGGTTTCTGAGAGCTGTACACCCTCAGCGGCCGAGAGGATTTTCTCAGTCGCTGAGGTTGTACACTCTCAGCAACCGGAGGATCAACTATCGGTTACCGCTCGAGGAACCCTCGTCGATTCCTGAGGGTGAGCTGGGGTTAGCACTCCCATCAGACAAGCTAATTCTGCCCTACTGATAGAGTGGCATTCTACTACTAGTTTGAGCTGAGTACTACAGGAACCGTCCGGTGACGGAGTTGGGGATTTAACCCGGTTCGAGAGGACAATGGGGTGAAGCTACCACGAGCTG